GAACGCACGAGGCAGGGACAGGGAGAGAACGACAGGGACCAGAGAAAGGACAGAGGCACGGGGTGGGGGGCAGAGGGGAAATGGAGCAGGACAGAGATGGAGAAAGAAGCAGCAGGGAGAGAGGAAGAGAGGCAGAAAGAGGGAGGGGAGCAGGACAGAAAAATAAGGACAGGGAGCAGAAGAGAGATGAAGAAAAACCTCGGATGGGCAGCACAGCAGAGAGGGATTAAAGAAGAATGGGGCACGGAGCAGGACAGCACCAGAGAATGGAAAAAGGAATACAGAGCATGAGAGAAACTGGGTGCGGGGAGGAGGACAAAGCAAGAGACGGAAAGAGGGTCAGGGAGCAGGACACTGGGACAGAATAAGAAAAATTGGGAAAAAAATGGGCAGCGAGAAAGACACAGAGACAGAGAGACAAAGAGGGAGACAAGGACAGAGAGAGATAACGATGGGGGGAGAGAAGGATGGCAGGGAGCAGCAGAGAAGGATGGAGAAGGAGAGGGACTGGGAGCAGGACAGTGGGGTAAAAAATAAAGGAAGACAAGGGAGATGGGCTGAGGAGCAGAGACAGAAAGGTACAGGGAAAAGGACAGTGAGATGGAGGAAGATAGAGGGTCAGGGAGCAGGACAAAAGGACAAAGGAGAGGAAGAAGGAGGGATAAAGATGGGGACAGGGAATGGGACATAGAAAAAGGACAGAGAACAGGGGAGAGGGAGAGGGATTGAGTAATACAGAGAGAGATGCAGATTGGTATAAAGAGATGGAGCAAGTAAAAACAGCGATGGGCTGGAGGACCTCCTTCTGACAACTTACCACTCCTGATGTCACTTCCATGGCCTCAAAAATGGGACATAGCACAAGACAGAGGAATTAGGAAGTGAAAGAACGGCACAGGGAATTTTTTTAAAAGAAAAAATGAAAGAGTAAAATAGTTATGGGGAGTGGGATAGGGAGCAGACAGAACAAGAGAGGAACAAGAAGTAACAGGAAACAAAACCAAATCTTCATTCCTCCTCAGAATCCTGGAAAACAGCCTGCCTGTTGCTGCTCTGAAAGGAAAGGGAAAAAATGTATGGGCTTCTTGTTGCTAGAAGATGATTGTTGTTACTGCTACTTGCAATTCCTTCTCTATTAGGAAGTGTGCAGAGACTCATTTTTTTCAAAGGCCAAAATTAACTTTTGTGAATCTCAGCTGCTGATAAACATTATCAAGAGCAGAAGGAAACCAACTGTACCTGTCTTTGTTAAGACACATAAGGTTAGTGCAAGAGATACAAAGAAACAAAGTATTTATTGTTAAAAGCTTTTCTACGACTAACTCGGCATCATACAATGAAGATGTGGCTACAGAGTAGAGGGTCTCTCTCTCCCCCCCTCCAATACACATATTTGCTCACTCTCACAAACCCACAGTTGTATTTTTTTAATGGAGTTCCTTTCTTCAATGAGATTGGAAAAGATGTTTATCATACAGGATCTGGCAGAACAGATTACATCCTATTAAACAACTGAGCAGTTACAGAAAGGAGACCTCCTTCTTCAGGAAAAAAGAGCTTTTTTTTCTCTTCTCAACACAAAAACAGGCCAAAAAAACCCCAATACCTGACTAGCATTTTGGCAAAATTAGGAGCCCTAACATATGCACCAATACTGATACACGCACTAATATTTTCACGCAGCTTCCACAGGATAAATTCTTAACAATGTGGTGTAAAAAACCTGCCAGCTGAAGCAATGTCTGCACTACAACTACCAACCCTGCTAAGCTGAACAACTGAATCCCTGTTGGTAACAGTGGAAAATGTTCTGCCAATGTGTCTCAAAGTTATTTGCAGAACGTTTGGTTCCGTCCTGCACGCCCCTTTCCCAGGCTGCACACCAGCCGATCCTGGCTCTGTCCCACAGGCTCTCCACACGTATACGCACACCCATGCACACAAAACACACCGACCCACACAGACTGTGCTATTTCCAACAGTACTCTGCACACTCTCCTGTGCTATGTCTTACTGGCACTTCAGTGGCACTCTGCTCCATCTTTTTCTTTCATTTTCCACTGTTGGATTCTTCCCTCTATTCCACAATCAGACATTTGTTTTCCCTTTAATGGCTCAGAAACGCTCGGTCATCCTGACTCACGGCCAACAGCACAAAGGACTGAAAAGAGTGTTTCAAACCTGCCATGTCAACACTTCAGCTCCAAGATATATTTCCCTTCTATTGGTACTCCAGAATTCTGTTTTAACCCTTTGCTAGTTTGAATCTGTATTTTCTAACAATCTACATTATCATCTATACATTAACTGCAGCTATGCACAGAAATTTTTTTTGCAGTATGCACAGATTTGTGTTGTGCTGTGGCAGCAACTGAAGACCCCAGAACATCTTCTTTTCATCTTTTATATGCACAAAAAGACAACCATCTTGAACTTAAAATGAATTTATCATTCACAATCTGTCACAATTACATGCCTGTTCAGTACCACCGCCTTTCATTTTCATATGCCCGAGCAGCATTTGGTCCAGTTCCTTCCAGTATTGCTCCATTACTTCTCTTCAAATATAATTTGTTTTTTGCAAAGAAGCAAGCTTCTGGCGGTGCTCCTGGAACAGACAACAGAACTTCTGTGTCTCTCTTCAGTTAAAAGGCCTGAACTGCTTCTGAACACAGGAAAAAAGCATCAAAACCTCAAACCCCAGTTTAGCCAAAGGAAAGGCACCTGACAGCTATTCCCAAGACTCACAGTTGTTGACCAGTTTTTTTATGCACAGTAGGAATATGGACAGTGGGATGTAAGAATTTAGGGTTTGGGCTGCCATCCTCAGTGCCATCTGCAGCGGCTGGTGCACGCACACACACCGGTACAGCACTGGTGCTGAACACAGATTCACCTTCCAGTGATGCTGTGGTGAACGCTGGGCAGCAACACCACCTTAGTTTAGTTAATTTGCTCTGAAAGAGACTGGGAAACAGAACCATCCAATTAACTCTACAGAGAGATTATAAAAGCAGGCTGGACTCCATTATGTTGCCAGCTATGGCACACAACTGAAAGGTCTCTCTACAAATATTTGCCACTTCAATGGGAAAGTTCTCAAAAACCACAATTCCCTGGCAGACATCCTGCAGGCATCTGACCCGGTCCCATACCCTTCTCACATCCTCCCGTATCTTTCTTCGCATTTCTTATTCCTGGAGACTGAACGCATCGCCTGAATGTAGCTGCTCTGTTTACCACATACAGAAAAGAGTTTTATACACTGGACAGCATGCACACAACCGACACAGCAGCGTAATAAATATGGAAGCACAGTAGCAGACGACCCCACTGTTTTCCCTTGTAATGCTTGCTTGTAGTCCCATCAGTGGAGTCCTAAAGTAAATATGTTTTCAGGTCATTCACAGTCTGGCAGCCTCACAGCCCCTCACTGTACTCAGTTTAAGACTGCAGGATTTCACGTTTTACTGTAAAAATAGGCTTTAGCACAAAAAAGTTCCAAAGAAAGCCATTCCTGGTAAAAGGCCTCAGGCAGAGATACAGCTGTGCTTTTCCTTACACCAAGGGGTTTGCATGACAGTACTGCCATCATGTGATTGCAATCAAATGTAAAAGCTATGGCACTGCTAGTGTGAAATCAGAGGTATTAAATAAAGGAGTGGAAGAGAAGACTCTTCTGTGACTGGATAGAAGAAACTTTTAAGTTCAACTAAGAAAGAAATCTGCAAAGATTGCAGAAGAGAAAAGGACAATGCTACTGCAAAATGCATTACTGAGAAGAGCTGCCTCCCTTCCGTACCACGTGTAAATTTGATTCTCTTTCCAAGAAATGAGATGAAAAGGAGTAACCTAGAAGAGGATTTTGAGTGCCACATCATCTGGACAAAGAGTTATACTTTTGCAGCTACTTTTTGGACTAGAAATCATGTCGGGCCATTAATTATAAACTAGTCTATGCACTACAAACATGGGGGGCTGGGAGGATTTAATGAAGATGTCCCCGCTTCCAAGAAAATATTATATAAATTCCCATAGTCTGAATTTGTCGTACATTTACAAAGATGGTTTACAAGGGATACGTTCTCTGTGCTATTTAAGGCTGATAGTGCTTTGTAACTCAACTGCATCCTATCTAACCAGTATGTATCATGTACAGGGGAACTAACTAATTCATAGTAAGAGGCAGTTCACCTATGATTAGTACGAGACCAACCCAAGGACTCTGTTAAAATCTTGAAGAGAAAACTGCCACGTTACATGAAGTTCAGCTTCTTGGATTCTGCACCCAGTTAACAATTAGAGAAGTTATTTTCAGTGCTGATCCCTACTGGCACACAGAGAAACATTTAAGGAATCTCATATTTTACACATATGCTTCTTGTTAATAGCTGCTGTGTTCAAGGCAGGTATCAGCAAAGCACCATTAAGTTATTTTAATTTTCTCAGAATGCCTCATTTCTTGCTTCAGCCTCAGCTTTGCTACCACCACTGATATTAAAGATGCCTAAGAAGCTCTTATCCCAGGGGTAATTCTCTTCCTCTCCATACAGCACATTGATCATTCCCATCTAGTGATACATAATTCAGTCTACCTTTCACTGCAGGGGCAAGGGGAAGAGGAAGTATTACAGTTTGTAGAAGAGATGTCCTCACTATACTTCTTTCTTCCAGAGGGGCTCTTCATTCCAGGAATTAAAATCCTCCTAGTTTGTTCTTTCACATGGTGAGATGGCTTCTTGCACTGCTCCAGCTGGAATAAAAATTGTATTCAGGAATATAAAGAATTCCACAGCTATAGGAAAGACTATCTTATCTAATTCCAGAGAAGTTACTATTTGAGACTCTTAGGTAACATAGGATGAGAACTGTGTTTATTTCTCTAAATCTGTAGTCTCCTGTAACACCCATCCCAACCTTCCCCATCAATGCCACCCAAGATTCTACGCATAGCCCATCAGGATTTGCTGTATGGTGTCTGAACTTTCCACTAAAACTTAGTGATGTGCTTTGATGAATGACCTTTAATCTTCTTTAACACTGACATTTGCACGGCGCTGTCTCTGGCCTGGAATGGCTTGAGACACCCCCCATGGGCAAGATTTTCAAGGGTCACTCTAAAGCTGGTGTTCTGACTGGTGCGTTGACGGCACATTCTCATCCTGTCAGGAAGCAGGTCCATGTGTAACAGTGAGCTAAGTAACACTGAAAAGTCCACTGGTTGGTGGTCATGATGCCAATGGGATCTTCTGAGCAGTACTTATGTGTTGCGCACTCCTAGAGATTGTTCCAGTTCCTGCCGGCGCTGCTGGATCTGAAAGAAAAAGAAAAACTGTACAGTTCAGCAGATTCAATTGTTCAGTGGCAGGAAGATTCATTTATAAGCCAGCAGAGTGGATAATTCCTTCATACCTTGCAGTAGAAATATCTGCTCACAGCCTCTTGAGACCATGGCTCGTGATAAAATTCAGCTCTGCGTTCTTCCTCTGGGTTTCCAACTACATCAGTCATCACCTGTGACAAAAATAAAAACATTTTTCACTCTAGCTCTTCTACCACATAGAGAAACTTTCCGATTTACCATTACTACATTAAAGATGTTCAGGACTGTCCCCTAAGCCCAAGGCACATGGACAACGAATGGCATGTGTGCTTGCTACCAAAACAAGAGGGCTGCATATGAACTGAATTGTGAACAGCTCCTAACCTCTGCTCCTCAGCCGTGACAAGGAATAATCCTGGACACCAGTAGCTGCCCAGGCTAAGTGCTGTGATCTCTAACAATTTAAGAGCATGGACAGTTTAGTTCCCTGTCACTGTGTATTTCATTAGCCCATGTGTCCAAAGGGCCTCAGTAGTTACCCACACACAGGGTGACAGCTTGAAACTGTTAAGGCGTTGATGCCAGACTGAAGCACAACCCTATACCAGCGTTGCCCTTATCTCAAAGCATATCTCCCCTTGATTTCAAAGGAAGTTCTGATGGGGAAAGCATTAAGGAAAAATAACAATTGAAATGTGAGGAACAGAAAACCCTAGTAATACCCAAATGGCCTCAGTCCTGAGCTGATTCTTCAGTCTCTACACAACTGCCAAGAAAGCAAGATTTGAAAAACTGACAAATTGTTTAAGGAATTAGTGGACGGGATCACCTGGAAAACTGTCCTTAGAGACAAAGGAGCTGAACAGAGCTGACAGCTCTTTAAGGACACTTCTCAGAGTGAAAGAGCTCTAAATCCCCATGGGCAGGAAACTGGGCAAGGAAGGCATGAGACCAGCATGGCTCAGTAAGGACCTCCTGGCTGAACTCAAGTGTAAGAAGGAAATGCACAGGCGGTGGAACTAGGGACATGTATCTCGGGAAGAACACAGGGATGCTGCCCAGATGTGTAGGGGTCAGCTGAGGAAAGCTAAGGCACAGATGGAGGTCAATCTGGCGAGCAGTGCGAAGAACAATAAGAAAGGCTTTTACAAGTATGCTGGCCAGAAAAGGAAGATTAAAGAAAACGTACACCCCCTCGGCAAATAAGACAGAACTGGTGACAACCAATATGGAGAAGGCTAAGTTAATCAACAAATTTTTTTGCCTCAGTTTTCAATGGTTATGTCTCTTCCCACATCTCTCAAGCCCCTGAACCTCAAGGGGGAATGAAGTCCCACCCATCGTAGGAGAAGATCAAGTCTGAGACCATCTGAGGAACCTGAACATGCACAAGCCCATGGGACCTGACGAAATGCGTGCCAGGGTCCTGACGGAACTGTCTGATGTAGTCACTAAGCCACTCTCCAACATATTTGAAAAGTCATGGCAGTCAGGCGAAGTCCCCAGTGACTGGCAAAAGACATCACACCCATTTTTAAAAAGGGCAAAAAGGAGGACCCTGGGCACTACCGACCAGTCAGCCTCGGCTCTGTGTGCCCCCCTTTTCTGCTCTCATGAGAGCCCCCCTGGGGTGCTGCACCCAGCTCTGGGGTCCTGAGCACAGGACAGACACGGAGCTGCTGGAGCGGGGCCAGAGGAGCCACGGAGATGGTCCGAGGCCGGAGCAGCTCCCGTGCGAGGACAGGCTGAGAGAGGTGGGGGTGTGCAGCCTGGAGAAGAGAAGGCTCCGGGGAGACCTGCCAGCACCCCTTCAATACTTAAAGGGGGCTCATAAGAAAGATGAGGACAGACTTTTTAGCAAGGCCGGTAGTGACAGGACAAGGGGCAAGAGTCTCAAACTGAAAGAGGGTAGGTTTAGATTAGATACCAGGAAGACTTTCTTTACAATGAGAGTGGTGAGGCAGTGGCCCAGGGTGCCCAGAGAAGCTGTGGATGGCCCCTCCCTGAAGGGGTTCAAGGCTTTGGGCAACCTGGGCTGGTGGGAAGTGTCCCTGCCCATGGCAGGGGGTGGCACTGGGTGGGCTTTAAGGTCCCTTACAATGCAAACCATTGATTCTGTGGTTCTACAACAACAACAACAAAAAATTCTGATTTCTAAGTCTCCAGCATTGCAGAAGCAAGGGTAAATATAAAATTATTGGCATCTTTTGCAGAGTAGTATTGTGCAATCACCATTCTGGGCAGAGCAGAACATTACATAAAAGACCCTTATGGGACCGGTTGTCAATCAGGGAGAATACTGAACAACTGTTCTGTGTATGCAGCTAGAGAAGCTCCACAACACCTTAGTTTGTAAGCTCTTCAAGCTAAAGGCTGCTTCATTTAAACATTCATTCAGATGCCTGTCTCCTTTTGAATACAATATAAATAATAATAATAATAATCTTAACAGTAAATTTTTGGAAGACTATTGACTACAAACTAGACTCACATTTGAAAGATGAGATGCTGTCATTAAAATAATTTCATGGATTCAGTAATGCAATTGGTTTTGAGGCATCCAAGTTAAAGACACAAAATGTGAAACTTTATGAGAAACAGATTTTTAATTTTTGCTGCTGGGAAACAACTGAACTTCTTTACGTTCCATTTCTTGGGTATCTCAAAGCTAAGCTCAAAGGCAGCTGATATTTAATCTGCCTATTTCTTAAATAAGATTAAATTATGAAATAACAAAACACCCAAATTGTGTTATTTTACCATAGGATGCTCCTGATGAGTTTTATATAGCTTTAATTTTACTGAGTACACCAACACATTCCTGAACTTCAATCTTACTCTCCAATCACAAATTCACCTATCACCCTCATTAAGCACCACTGTTCCGCTGGAATACAGCCTAAACTTTCCTGCATACTGTCTGCTCTGGGATTCCACTCATTGTTTGTTTTCCACCAGTTTTCCATCCTGGGTGTTTTAGCTATACACTCTGTGTATATTTAGACAAAATTCTTACATTCTGGTTCCACTATTCATTCTTCTTCAAACCTTAGCTCACCTTAAGATCCCTACTTTGGGACCGGAGAAGGTCTTGGATGTATCCTTTGGGATCTTTGGAGAAACTCAGCATGAAATCACGTTGTATTTTTAACTGATTTATGGACTCGATTGTCTCGTGAATCTGACAGGAAAAAAAAAAAGTAGATGTTTTAATCCTTAATTCCTCAATTCCTCCCATGCTCCAGTGACCCTGAGGTCAGCCCCATTAGCATCTTTGTACTTCTTGTAACGTACAAAGGCGACAGTTCTACACTGCAGACTTGTGCAGGTTCCCATGGCTTTTGCCCTTCAAAGAGGGAGTTAACCACAATCCTGCAATTATGTTTTGGTTTCACTTGTACTTCTGCAATATGAGTACGCACAGGATTCTTCTTCACCTCCTGCACTGAACTGTTGGATAGCATGCTATATACAATACTGAAGAGCTAAGTCACGCCACTGTACAATGTAGTCATTTCCTGGGTGTAATCAGTCTTTCTGCCAGGTCCGGGAATTTTCAGGGAAGGTGCTATATAATTGTCTTTAAACAGTGCCCAACACAAGAAAGCAGTTGTTCCCCTGGTTCATCATCATCGTATCTGCAGTACCCTGAAGGGTATTTAAGGCTGTGATCCTTAATATCTCTCGTGAGTGCCTGATCAAGTCCATGTTAAATGGTCTCACATAACACCCATGACTTCTAGACTTTTTCTTATGAGAAAGCCTATTAAAGTCACAACAGCTGCACAAAGGAGTGTGGACAATGAGAAATCAGGAGCATGGACGGTTTATAGAAAATGAGTCACACCTTCATAAATATTATGAAAGAAATGATCATTAACCAGCAGGGAAGAATTACGACTCCAAAGGAAGTCAAGGTCCTATAAATCATCCTGGATAACAAAATCAAGTACGATCAATGTGAGCACAGTTAATGAATCACTTGCACATACACACACAGAAAAGCAAACTTTTGCTATCCTGTACCTCTAAAATTCTAGTTTGAGATTGGAAACCTATCTTGTTTAATTGCATGCGTACATCTATTTTGCCAAAGCAGCTAATGTGGCCGGGCATATGGGGGGAAATAATCCTCCCCTGATCTGGCTATGCCATCAAGGCCACTACTGCGGGCAAAACTCTACGGTACTTAACAGAAGAGAGCTGCTGTCAACTTAAAATCATTCCTTATTTGGGAAAATGATGCGGCCATGCTGGAGAGAAATCTGTTGGCATGCACAGAGTTCCCACTAGAGGACTCTGTGGCAGCACAGCAATACCTGGTACAGAAGGTGACAATGCAGCAGTCCGTGACTGTGTACCCAGAAGTAACTTCAGCAACTTCACAAATGCTCAAAAAAGAGGTGAAACAGACCTGGGAAAAGGTGAACTGGACTGGAAACAGAATAATCCTATGCATGCTGCATGCTAGCCTGTATAAACTGGGAACCAGCTGGCTGAGCAGCTGCCCTGCTGAAAGGACCTTTCTCAAGAGCCATAAACCAGAAGATGTTGCAACAGTCACTGGAGCCCACAGGACTGATAGTGTCCAAACCCCCTTGGAAATCGCAGGATTTCAGGACCAGAGTTTAACATATTTGTTTGTATTAGAGGTAAACAAACAGAAACTGGGCCTGACTGTATGTCACATAAATAATCTCTGGTCCACAATGTCACACCTCTTCTTCTTCCCTTGCTCTGAGAAGCCTTTTGTTTATCCCTTACTGAGCCAAATCAGCCATTTACACCTGGGCCAAAAGCTGGCTAACAGCCCCTGTGACATGGACCCCCAATACAGCGTCAGAGCTCACCACCGCTGTGAGGCAGATATTTTTATTTGAAGTGCACGTGATGCTCTTTCAGTAACACTGGAAACAAGTCTGCCAAACTGCTCCAAGTGATTTTTATGCCATGCAGTTTCCATATTTTCACCTACTGCAGAGAGCTGTCCTGCAACTGTGCATGCACAAAACACATCTGGAGTATGAGATTCTCTTGGCTTTGCCTTACAACAATTTAGCAAGATACCATGACTTCTCAATGAAAAGTTATAGTCCAACAGTTCAGATGAGTCTCGAATGCCAGGGGACTCATCATACTGCCTGTGAAACTCTGTTTCTCTCACCTTGACAACTGTGTCAGCCCCTGGATCAAACCCCCAGCGGGAACACCACTCACTTCTCTGTATTCCCGTCGCACGTGGCTTATTCATCCCTTGAAAGCACATCCCATTGAGAAGTCCCTGTCTCACAACATTACTGTCTCTGATGTGTGACACCAAACCCACATGAAGGTACACAATGAGTACATATGCCACGCGATGCTTTACTCATAGGCTAGTACCTTGTTGTCCAATGCTGTAATCTCCTGTTGGTTAGCTGTTGAGAGAAGAAAACTACTCATCTGTCCCTTTAATGGGTCTTCAACTTCTACATCTATGTCATAACAAGCCGTCTTCTTCTGATCGTTGGGATCAACACTATGGAGTGTATAACAGAAGATCATGAGAACTGCCATAAGGAATCAGAATAAATATCCATCCAGCCCAGAATACACTCTTCAATAAAGCCTGCTGCAGATGCTGTTAGAAGAGTTTAAGAACAGAGTATCTTTATATATTTACATATTTGTATATCCTAGTATATCCTCTCATCTTTCATCAGTCAGAATTCAAAGACTTTTGAGCTGGAGGTTTTGTCCAGACCATCAACTTCAACAGCTACTAATGGACATAGTCTTCATTAAATTGTCTAACATCTTCCTGAGCTCCTCTGTAACTCTGGCCTCTGCTCAACCGCATCTTTTTTGGGGCAGGGTAAGTAGAACTGCACACTACCATTCTGGATCTGAGCACATGATGTTTTATGTGGTTCTCAGTTCCTTCCCTGATAATGCCTAGCACCGTAATTGTTTTGGCAGCTACATGGTGTTGTAATGATTCCCAGCTGCTTCTTAAGAGGTAGCAGTGAATTTGGGGACCACCACTTTGTTTGTAAAGTTGCCTGCTTAATTCTTCAAAGAATACAACCAGTCATGCCTTGCTGTTACAGAAGCTATATTGACTCTTCCCCAATATATCACGTCTGTTAACTCCATTCTCCCCTACAGTTAGTACCGATCGCTTCCAATATCCAGGATTTGCCCTGGTATGTTTTCGGCATCACGTTAACTATTTACCACCCTCTGGTACTGAAGGAGATTTCAGTAATAGGTAATACACTGTACAGAATCACAGAGTCATTGGGGCTGGAAAAGACCTTTAAGATCCTCAAGTCCAGCCATTAACCCAGCACTGCCCAGTCCACCTCTAAACCATGTCCCCAAGCACCACGTCTACACATCTCCTCAATACTCCTGAGGATGGTGACTCCATCACTTCCTGGGCAGCCTGTTCCAGTGCTTGACAACCCTTTCAGTGAAAAAAATTTTCCTAATATCCAATCTAAACCTCCCCTGGCGCAACTTGAGGCCATTTCCTCTCGTCCTATCACTTGTCACTTGGGAAAAGGGACCAACACCCCCTCCCCTCACCCTCCTTCAGGCAGCTGTAGAGAACAATGAGGTCTCCCCTCAGCCTCCTTTTCTCCAGGCCGAACAGCCCCAGTTCCTCCAGCTGCTCCTCACAGGACTTGTTCTCCAGACCCTTCCCCAGCTCCGTTGCCCTTCTCTGGACACGCTCCAGCCCCTCGATGTCCTTCTTACAGTGAGAGGCCCAACACTGAACACAGTGTTTGAGGTGCGGCCTCACCCGTGCCAAGAACAAAGGGACAGTAGTTGGTAGTGAAGCAATTTCATGAGAGTCCTGCATGAAAAACCATTTACAACTCTTCATTTAGTGTGTGTTAAATTTATTTCTATTTGATACCTTGGTGTGATAAAATTTTTCATTTCCACTTGCCTTCCAAAACCCATACTGCACAGGCATGGGACTTTCCCTCATCTCTGAAGTTACATTGATTTTTAATTAATTCTTTTAGAATTAATTTGTATTTTCTTCTCTGCCTTTAAGCAGTTGATTGTCTTCTAAGAACAGTTTTTTTAAACCTTGTTAATTTCTCAGTTTCATTAGTAAGCTTCCTACTTCCAATATATTTCAACCAATCCTACTGTTTTCTTTTTAATCTTTAATAAGCCAAATATCAGTATTATTCTTTGGCTCATCCTATCCTAAATTTATATTTAATTTGTTGGGGTTTAGACCTAGCATTTACATTCTCTTTACCTTTAGATTAAAGTTTCTTAGGAGGAAAACAGTTTCTCAGCCCAGTAGTTGGTAAGTCAGGCTTTGGTCATTGTCACTTTTAACACAAAAATGCTGGCTTCTCAACGCTGGTTTTGAAACGTCTGGGTTGTGGGCATTTGCTGTAGGTAGTGAAAAAATTGTCTCAGGATCTAACTGAGCTTGATAGACTTGGGGGAGCAGGAGAACCTCCACGGATGTATCTGCACTAGGAGTGCTGCCAGCAGGTGGAAGGAGGGGATCCTTCTCTGTGCTCAGCACCGGGGAGGCCACACCTGGAGTGTCGTGTCCGGTGCTGGGCGTCCCACTGCAAGAGAGACATGGCACTACTGGAGAGAGCTCCACTAGGGCTCGTGAAGATGGTGAAGGCATTGGAGCACCTCACACATGATGAGGACAGGCTGAGGGATCTGGGACTGTTCAGCCTGGAGAACAGAAGGCTTGGGGAGGGGGGAAGGAGGCAGGATCTCTTCAGTGGTACCCAGTGACAGGACAAGAGGCAACAGATGCAAGCTGAAACACAGGAGGTTCTGTCTGAGCACCAGGAAACATTTTTTTTACGGTAAGAGTGACCAAGCGCTGGCACAGGTTTCTCAGAGAGGTTGCAGAGCCTCCTACATTGGAGATACTCAAAAGCTGTCTGGACATGGTCCTGGCCAAGTGGCTCCAGGTGGCCCTGCTCGAGCAGGGGTGGGCATTTGACCTGATGATCTCCAGGGGTCCCTTCCAACCTCAATTCTGGAATTCTGTGATTGCTGTGATCCTTCTGCAAGTGAATCAGCAGCAGAAGGAAGACTAAGGAAAACTGGGTCTGGGTCTGGTTCTGCTGCTCATGTCAAAAGCCCTGGAAAAGGCTGAGGCACTCGGGGCTGTCGTTGCCTCCGTTTCTCCTGGTAAGTCCCGTCCTCAGGCCTCCCAGGCTCTGAGCCAGGGGAGCACGGCTGTTCAGAGGGACCTTGACAGTCTGCAGAAGCAGGACGGCAGTTCAACGCAACAGAGTCAAATACAAAGTTCTGCTCCTGGGATCGAATGAGAGCATGCACTGGTACAGATGGGCAACTTTGCAGGAGAGGACCTGGGGGTCTTCATGGACAACAAGTGGAGAATGAGTCTGTGAGGCGAGCCAGCCATGACAAAGGCCAGCTGCAAAGTGGGCTGCATTAGCACTGGTGTTGCCATCAAGTCAAGGCAAGAGGCTATTTCTGGCTATGCCACACTTGTGAAACTGCATCTGGACTTCTGGGAACAGGACCAGAACAACATGACATTCTGGAATGAGGACCACCAGGAGGGCTGGAGCACGTGCCTACCAAGAGAAGCTGCAGGAGGAGCTGGTTTGTCCAGCCTTGAGAAGGGGAAGGGAGATCCTCTTGGTGAGTGCAGCTGCCGTAGGGGATGGTGACGAAAAGGCAGAGCCAGCCTCCTCTTGGAGGGGCACAACAAGAGGGTGAAAGGCAGCAGAAACTCACTGCCACATGGGCAGTTGACTCAGTATAAGGAACTGGGTTTTTTAAATCATTATGGTAGTCAAAAGGGGGAAATCAAGAGCTAACCTATTTGCAGTAGGAGAATAGGAGTGCAACCCAAGAAAAGCTCCAGCTCCAGACTTCTGCCAGTTTTAAATTTTGTGCATTTGGTATCTCAGAAATCAGAAAGTACTATACACACTGTATCTTTTAATTGCATTCTGCATTCTCTTTGAGTCTACTTAATATTTAAAATATTTCCCAAGATTAGAGGCTTTCTGTTCATCTCTATTTCATTTCCACTTCAACCCTATTGCTTTTTTTTTTTTCTTTTTCAAAAAAGAGGGGTGGTTGGTGTCTGCAGAAAGGTTCTAAAATACTGTTATTTCTAGAATTACTTTAGAATATTCCACATAGAATCATATTATAGAATCATAGAATGGCCTGGGTTGAAAAGGACCATAGTGATCATCTAGTTTCAACCCCCCTGCCATATGCAGGGCCGCCAATCACTAAACCAGGCTGCTCAGAGCCACATCCAGCCTGGCCTTGAATGCCTCCAGGGATGGGGCATCCACGACCTCCCTGGACATTTTAGTCTCTGTGCACATACTCTGAAACTAGAATGAATACTTGTGATCTCATTGACCTTCTTGTAAAAGACAGGCCTGAGAATTTACCTGAATTAAGAGCAGATATATTTAAAATCACTAGTGATGAAAAATTCCCTTTAGCAGTGGTGTGCTGGTTTTGGCTGAGATAAAGTTAATTTTCTTTACAGTAGCTAGCATGGGGCTGTGTTTTGGATTTGTGCTGGACACTGTGTTGGTAACACAGGGATGTTCTCCTTACTGCTGGGCAGAGCTTGGACAGAGTCAGGGGCTGGTCTGCTCCTCACCCAGCCCGCCAGCGAGGAGGCTGGGGGTACACAAGGAGCTGGGAGGGGACACAGCTGGGACAGCTGAGCCCACCTGCCCACAGGGACATTCCACACCGCATGGCACCATCCTCAGAAATAAACTGGGGGGCAGGGAGGGAGTGCTGCTCAGGGACTTCCTGGGCATCAGTCGGTTGAACCTGTTTTCATTTGCATCACGTCTTTTCTTGGGTTTTATTTCTCTCTGTTATTTTCCTTTTCATTACTGTCATCATCACCATCATCATTATTATATTTTATTTCACTTATTAAACTGTTTTTATCTCAACCCAAGAGTCTTCTCACCTTTACCCTTCCGATTCTCTTCCCCCATCCTTCTGGGGGGAGTGGGACGTGGCTGTGCGGTGCTTATTGCCGGCTGGCAATCGTTTCAGTGGCTGACTGTTTTCACTCTTAAAAACTGAATGCAAGGGGGCAGGGCAGAGGGTGTGTGCGAGTCTGTTTACAGCTCAGTGGGACTAAGTCCCTAAGCATCCTGATACAACGTGAACCCGCTTTGAGCTGGGAGAGGGGAGCTCCAGATGACCACCAGCAATCCCTTCTACTGTGCATTATTCTGTGATTTTAGGAGTTGAAAAATTACTTACTTCCTTTAAATTCAGTGCCAGACTTCCACATTTATTTCAGCTTAGCTTGAGACTGCAAAGACTCTATTGCGACAGTATTCCCTGCTCCCAGGGAATCCCCCTTTCCGCAGCATTACCTCGGTGCAGCACAATGCTGTCAGGAGCTGCGTGGTGCACACAGCGTACCAGAGAATGCTGCTAGACACAAGGTCCTGCCCTTTAGCTTGTATATAACAGAAAACGTACTGCCTCCAGAACCCCCTTGCCATCCCTCTGCCCTTGGAAACGTAGCCATCAGTTCCTTGTCATTTTTCTCCAAGACAATGACTATATACCTCTGAGGACCTCATCCTTTTTCGGTCCATCAAGCAGGCCACGGAGTTGTCTTCAGTGACAGTACACACACAGCTATCCATCTGCATGGTAGTCAAACTGCTTTTTGATTACTCTGTTTCATATATTCAAATGAATCAAAAAGCAAATTTTATTTTGATAGTCTAGGTCATATTTAAACTGCTTACCACATGTACTACAAATTTAAAATAAATAACCCAACTTTAAGCACATTTAGAAGTATTTGTTGTCAATATTCTGTAGGCAATCAAATCATTATGCTCAATTACCAATAATATTTAAACATCAGAGTTTTGACCACGACCACAAAGGAACTTGGGAAAGACTGAAATATCTTTACAGCAAGGCTGCCATCCCCAGAAGTCTCTTTGCCCCCTCCCCACACACGCAGCTGTCACTTAAATACGGAATGTGCTGGAAGTGTCCTAGGTCAGGGAAACTTGTATTTCATCTACTATGCCAGAAGTACATCTGTTTCGACAAGGATGCCAGAAGCTCAGTATCTCGGTCACAACAGCCTTCTCTGCACATCGGCATTCTTTATTGTAAATCTCTTGGGATCTCTGACTAGTTAGCATTCTTAGAGTAAGACTAACACCCCAACAGCTGACCCAGTCCCTACAAAGCACACAGGGACTGGCGGCTGTATTCAAAACCGCAATACTATTGCACATTTTGCATTATAACTCATGATTAGAATGATTGCCATGATATACTACATCTTACTTCAATTCCTTTTTTTCCCCTGTAAGTGGATCCAAACTCTTGTTCCTCTCCCTGTAGCAAAGAAACCTGACCAAGGCTCTCAATGTTATCGTAGTAGGGGTAAAAATTAGAAGAAGTTTTGCATACTCCTAGAGAACTGGTGCCATCCTATTGAAAATAATTCAGAATTATATAGACCAGAATGACACAGAGAATGAACACACAACCAAGCCTAAGGTTCTCATCTGGCAGTTTTAAAAACTGGATTCTGGTCCCTGCTACGGTAGCTGTTTCTGTATTTTATAGAGGGAGCGGTTTGCACGCGCCAGCGCTGAGCTGACTGACCAGCTTACCTGATGATGTGGTTTATCACTATAGGGTCTGGTGGCAGCAGCAGGTTAGTGAGTCTCTGAGGAATTTCAGAAAACTTTAGCCGTGGGCAGTCAAAGATCTGGAATACAATAAAGCAAAACCTAACTTGCAATTAAATGAGAAAGTAAGAAATCAACAGTTCAAAGGTAAGGTGATTTTGAAAGCTATAATTCTGTCTCCTTGCACAAAATAAAATTTTGGTCACTTCTGTCCCTGCAAATTGCTGCTGTACTTACAATCTGGGCTAGCTGACAGATGCATGAGATGACAACAATTTCAGGTATCCCACTTTTGGTGGGCACAGGCCACCTTAATGGGACATCAGGATCAACTGTATCGATGATGGGAGAGAACTGAACACCTCTTGTCTCACTAAGGTCTTGCAGCAGCATATTGTAAAGAAAACAATGTTTTTATTAACCAGAGGAAATAAATAGGAAGACAGTTTGCTTTTTTTTCCAAAGCATGTTTCCTGCGATATTTTGTGCAAAATACAAGAAAACTTTTTTAAATTTTAAAATCATTTGATAGGGTTTTTTTTTAAGGTTAAGGAAAAAAGAGTCAACATGGTTTTACTTATTTTTAAACAAAAACCTAAACAGCCTCTTGGAAGGAATCCACTCCTTTCCAATCAACATCTCACGGTTACCTTCTCATTACTATGGTCCAGAAGCTAAGTATGTATTGAATTCAAGAAAAAAAAACCCAAACCTTTTGAAAAGGATCAAAATCTGTAGTTTCTGTAAATTTTCTGGGAGTAATTGTGATGTGTTGCCATGAATCTAGAACTACTCCTTACACCTGGAGTTTTCAGAAATATAATTATTACAGCCTTTCTTTCCTACTGGGATTTTTAATGCCCTGAACAAGCAAACAGACTTTTCTCTAAAGATATTCCATCTAAACTGACTTTAAAAAACTCCAAACTATCTACATATTAACATTTGCCTTAAAACATGCCATTTTGTAGAGGCAATTTGTAAAAATGTTGAGGCTTATGCAAATACAAATGCCTCTTAGGGAAACTATTTCCACCTGATAGCAGAGGGGTACCACTTGTAGAATGGGATCTATAAACAGAAACATGCTTGGCAGATTTAGGGACAAAGGATGCAGGCAGGGGTGAGAAGGATGGACCAGCAGGTTGTAGAATGGAAGTCAGGCTGTACATCTAGGATGCTGTGGTTCCTCGGCTAGAGTATCTTCTGAAATCTGTAATTTTCTGGAGCGAGGGAACTTGGTAGCAGAAATACCTAGAAGCCAGCTCTGGGTTTTTAAATACCTTTGGATCTTTTTTCTTGCTTTTGCTTGTAACACAGTGGATTTCAAATCTCCCAGCTGATGCAAACAGTGTTTCTAAACAGAAAGGGATCCTTCTTCATCAACTCTAAAATCTGTCTCATTTGCTGGACTTAGCTGCATCCACGAATTCAGCCAGTGAGTTTCTAAAGAGCAAGGAAGTAAGCAAATCTGCTGAGTCTGCAACTCACTATTTCCGTTCTGAATTCAGACACTTGGTAGAGATGACTGTGGAATTCCCACTCAAAATCTTTGCATACCAAGCTCCATCCCATCTGCCGTCACCACTGGCTCAACACTGCAGTCAAGCTCTTAACGTGGATGCCCAAGAGATGAGAGCTTTCAGAAGGGAAAAGGGAGCACGGACACAACAGTGAGAGGAAGGGTGGGAGAATGGAAACTAAGGCTAGATGGAATTTTCCTAAAGCTTCTCACACTCCTGCTCAACTGGAGTTAATGGTCTAAACTTATAACCGCTAGCTCTGAAAGCCTAGATGGCAACAGTAATGATGGTGTGTGAGGAAATTCACGCAGTGGTGATTTTTCAGTCTGAACTGTATTGTGTTATCAGATATAACCAGAAGCACACCAGCGCAGGATTTAGAAAAGCTGGCATACCGAGTGAGCAGTCCAGTATCTAAAAGGGAATGCTGGAGACACCGACGTGTCCTGTGCTGCTCTCTCAAGTGATCTGCGCACTTCCAGCCACGACCGTGATTTTCTCCATGAGTCACAAGCCTGAAACTGTACAGTCTACAGAAATATCCTCACATGGGAAGGCATTCCTAACCCAGTTCCTTTATGCTCCGTATCTCAATTTTAGAGTATTGGGATGAAAAACAAAAAAACCTCACAACGAAATGTTTCATTTGATTTAATGGGGTTCATTTTCCTAAGTACTAACATCAGTTTTGAAAGAAAGATTAGCTACTTAGGACAATTTTGTCAGAGACCTAAGGAAAACAGAAATACTCAACTCAATTCCATTTAAGATTTAAATCTATGCAAGCACTGCTTTCTTATGAAACTATTCCAGATCAGCCAGCTCTCGCAGGGAGTGAGGTTCAGTCTCCTAGAAAAGGCCTCCGCTGCTTCTCAACTCCTCTGACTGATCTTCTGAGGACGGGAATACAATTACCCGGTCCGATGGTATTCCTGAAGACTTCTAACACCAAGGAGACCTATGAGCTAACAAGCCTCTGATAAGATACACAGAGAGAAGATGGCTCCAGCAAGTTCTCATTATAGAGAAGTTCTTAAGCTGAAAATTAAAATAAATAAAAGTGAGAAGGCCCTCCTGCTTACCATAAGAAAGGCACGCACTGCTGTACCGGGTCAGACAAAGGCAGACCACGCATCTACCACACTGTCCTGCCCTTGGTAGTGACCAGAAGTGGATAATGAAGGAAAAATGTAAGAACAGGAGGAACATACACTGGTCCTTCCCCCAAAAAACTCTCCCAGTCTCCATAGATTTGCAATTACCTTACATTTATAACAGCCCAAGATTTTTTTTCCATTTGTTTGTCACTTTTGGAACCAATGTACACTTTTAGCATTTGTAATATCCTATCGCAAGGAGGTCTGAAGTTTAACTATGCTCGATTCCTTTTGTTTGTTTTTAATTTGCTATTTCCCATTTTCAGTTGATGGCCTCTAATTATTCACCAAAATAAACAATAATTACTCCTTGTTCACCTTTTCCATTCTGCTCCTGATTTTTCAAATTTTTTCACCTCTCCTTTTCCATTTCCTCTTTAGGCTGGCACAAGAAAAATTGAGTATAAATTGGCTATAGATAAATAGAGAATGGAAATAGAATAATCTAAGCAACAGAGCGAACAGTTTTGCAATTTTGCCAAAAAAAATTCTCATCTGGTTTTAAGATGGAATTTTCACTATATACAAAAAAGACTGCATGCTGTAATTTAAAAAAAAAAAAAAAAAAACACACAACCAACCAAACAAGAGAGTGACTACATAATCCAGATTGCTTTGGTTCTATATTCCCAAAAATATTCATGAATCTCACAATTATTTTGTTGCATTTTTGTATTTTCAAATGTGGAAAAAGACAGCATTGCCTTTAAGTTTATCTCAAGCATTGGTCGCTCTAAACCATCGTAGAGCAAATTAATAACAGAAAATTAAAGCTTAAAAAGAAAACTAGGACACAACTTTCATTTCAACATTTACTTTCAATGCTCACTAAAACGTTATTCATTTATTGCAAATGCCAGTACTTTCCCTAAACAGGAGTATGTCACAAACCCTGCCTTCAGGTACTTTTAAAATCAATGACGTAAGCCAAAAACAATGCCAATGAAGATAGTGATAGCTCAGCTAACATTACCTTTACAAAAGAAACATCATTATATTTAAGAAATATATTTACAGAAAAGGTGGAGATGCTTTTAAGTAGCCCTCTTGGTTAATTCTAGAGGTCGTTGTGAAACACAAAAAATGCTACTTTCAAAACATCATGCACATCACTGAGGGTATTTTATCATGTGAAGCAGACTTAGGAAAAAATAGCTTTTTACATTTATCTTCCATGTCTTCTGCCCTTCATAAACAGGGAAAGATAAGGGAAGAAAACAGGTCTACATATGATTTGGCAATCAGAATCAGCAGATTATTTCATGTTTCTTAGTACAAAATGATACATTGGGGGAAAAACAAGTAAATCAATACAGTGAGACAATTACAGAAAGTATTATTTCCTGGAAAGGCCCCACAGCTTACACGGGAGCACTGAACTACCAGGTGTGGTTTTAACACTGGCACAACAGGAGGATGTTCGTTTCATTAGTTGTAGTGACTGTTGAAAGCCATTCAGTACTGAAGATACTGCAAATCACAGTGGGAATATAAAAATCAGTCTTTTTCATCCATCCAAAACGTGCAGGTGGATATTCTATTTTGCCTCTAAAGAGCTACTGTGTCCAAAAAGGATTTACCTGTTGGAAGTACTTGTCGCAGTTAATGTATTCCTTATCATGGGAGTCTTGCAGCTTGTTTGTTTTGATGTACTGCCAGAGAGCCTGGATGATGGCCGATCGGGTCTGTGTGTGGATCCCCAGCAAACGGGCTAACCGCGGGTCCAGCTTAAACTGTGGAGGCTGCAATAGGAGGAGGAGGAGATGGAGACAGCAATAGAGAGAAAAGCAGACAGATACGCAGGTGTGAGGGTTCAGCTTTAATTCTTGAGGAACTCTGTTCCTCACACAAAGCACCCCGTTCAGGGGCAGGGATGGCGAAAACACAAGCTGCTCAGACGGTACCACCGTCGGTGCCCTGGAAGAACTGTGTCTAGGGTCTGAGAAGAAAGAGGGACACTCTACATGTGCTACACACACAGACTATCTGTATCACATGCTTTAGATAGTAACAACTTGTACGTGGACTCAGGGAAGAATTTTCCTTTTCAACACTGATGCATAATTTGACTTTACGGAGTGGGAGAATACGAAGAATGGTCCCTCTTCTGAACTACTGTGTGTTGACCACAGACAGAGAGAATTAAGTCAAGATGGTGCTTCTCCTGTTGCCAATAACTGCTCAGCACCTCACATCAACAGAGTACCTTGGAACGCTGTTTTTCAGGCATGTTTCCACCTCTCTGCTGCATACCAGAAAATTTACTAGTCAATGGAATATATTTCTTCTCCCGACCTCTGTGTTAGAACTCTTTAACTACCCTGTTCTGCATCTCTAGTAATATACATTCCTTGGATACTTTGGAATTTGGTGCCTCTTCTACTGTGTACCCATACTCAAGTTTAATATTTGCCACATTATTAGGCAAAGATTACTCTGTTGTGTGCTAGGTCACCCAAAGCTAACTTTATAACAAATAAAGACCTGAGGATAAAAGAGTATCTGTTTTAAAGGATAAATTTATAATCGTGGTGAACATAACAAGCATCATTACGCTGTCTTAACAATAAAGTTTTTCACTGGCTATATCAGCATTTCAGTTAGCTCATGCACTCCCTAAAATTAGTAAAATTTTCTCTCTGTTAACATAAAACGGAGTGTCTTTATCCTGGTGAAATACCAGGGCCTGAGCAGTGAGGCCCTGAACCAAAGCTGACCGCTAGATGAACCTCACAACCTAACGATACACCTGATATGTGTAACACTGATCACACAGGCAATGTGTTACCTGATGAACATATGCCAATTCATAAAAGCTTTGTTGTAACGCTTACAGAGCACTGCTGTAAGGTGACAGCTGTGTAACCATAGCCCCGTTTGTTAAACACAGACACGGCTATCTTGACCGAAGCATGTGGCAGCGCTGTGACGGGCTTTGTTGAGAGATACATCATCAAGATTACCAGATCCTTTTATTTCTTCTTAACTTTTTCTCAAGCTCTGGCCAAACTCGAGACAAAAGTTAACAAGGAAAAAAAAAAACTACACCAGATGTTTTTCGCAGTTGAAGACAGAAAGTTGTTTATGTAACTGTACAAAAGCAGGGAACATTTGCAGGGGAATTTGGAAGCCTCATCTATACGGTGGATGCACTGTATAGAAATCTCCCAATTGCCGGGAAGGGTTCTCCAAATCCTCACTGAAACCGAGCTCCCCAGCGACTGCGGATCTGGATGATGGTAACTATTATTAGGGCAACTGGTGATGTATCTTTCTTAATCACTATCGCTAACTCTATGTAGTAATGATTAGGTGCGTTACCTTATTTTATGCTTACTATAGTAGTTCACTTATTATTTTGCTGCTTTACCTTATCTTGCTTTAATTAATTTTTACTGTATTATTTTCCTCATACTTTATCACTTTAAACATAAGTAAAGATAAGCTTACTTTTCTTTTAAATTTGGTGCCTGTGTCCTTTGTGCTAACTCCGTAAGTTGGCAAAACACCCGGATAGACGCCGTTTGCATGGAGGGGAAAGAGAATGGCACAGAATGAGTTCTTCAAGTCCCACAATGAGAATGTATCTGAGACTGAACTGCCATTCAAAAGGGAGATCCCACCTCCTCTCAGCAGTGCATTTCTATTCATTTCCTTAAGACAGCAACATTTCTTTCAGGGATGGTTTCCATTAGATTAGTGAGCTCCACAACTGCAAATCTTGACCGTTTGTGCCAAGAGAATGGAGACGGTGGCAGTGCACGCCCTCAACTGCTTTTTGGAGCAGCTTAGCCTTACAACAGTTTAGAACAGTTTGAAACTGTGCCCAGGAACCTCTTTTATATTCCATCCCAAGGCAGAATAACCTAATTTTGCTTTTTGTGCTTTTTTGTTTCCCATGACTGGGGATCAGGGAACTCATTTGGAAGTTTTGTTAGCTTTCAAATGGATCAGTTCCCTGACTCGCGTGTGTTCAGCCCACAAACACTACTGGTTCAACAGAACTAACACTGACAGAAGAGAGGACGCAGGATAGCCTAACAACGCCTGAGAGCAATGGCAAGTCTAACCCTTGCAGGGCAATGTTGTCTTATGCCAGTTAGGGTGAGAATGTAACCAAAACTTAACAAACCAGGAGACCTGCGTAGTCTGCTCTCAAAAGAAGGCTGCCACAGCTACACAGCTAGTTCAGGTACCCCTAGCAAAAGCCACTCCTTTGAATTTCTGTACAGGGCCACAAACGTAACTCATGTGCAACTCATCTGACTCTTCTCTAAGAAGCCTGAGGTGGAAATGCATATTCTTCCTGCTGGTGGACAACAAAAATACTAATTATCATAGTGCCAAGAACGGTATTTTGCTAGACTTAATAGAAACTTACTTGATGTGTCCCCTTTACATTTTAAATAACCTGTCAGTCTGGTATCATTCTAACCTCAATGGACTATGTGACATTCTGAGTCCAAGTATATTGTTTTTTGACACGTGATGGGATGAATTTGCTCTGTTGCGCTATGTCCCAGTGGCTGCATTTTCCATGCCAAAAGCAGTGTGCTGACCTGGTAGTCCAACATGAGGAGCAACGTGCACCGCACGCTGACATCACCGGGTCTTTTCACCTGGAAGCCATCCGTTTCCTGGGTTGTGGGAGTTCTGTGCCACTGCCAAAAGAAAAACAAGTCAGTCTTTTTTTCACTGGTGTCCACGGAGGTGAATCTTGCACAGTACGCCATGCAAGAATAAGGCAAGTACAAGCTTTCTGAAGAACTTGCAATTAAAAAAAAAAAAAAAATACACACCAAAAGCCCCCAAATAATTTCTTGCTCTGCCCTTATGTTGCGGGTGTGTGCGGTGGGTTTGTTTGGTAGCAGGGGAGTGGCTGCAGTGATGCTCCTGTCAGTAACTGCTGAAGTTCCCCTGGCTCCAAGTCTGTTCTG